GCCGGGTGAAATATTGTACCCAGTAAGTATATTTGTGTTCCATATTGGGAAACTGTTAAATGTTTTTCGATGAAGATGAATTTTTGATGTGGGAAAACTTGCTGAAATGCAAGTGAAAATAGGTAAAAGTAATACAATATTATGCATGCTTATATGTGTATATGTATATTGGGGTGGTCCAAAAATGCATTTGAAAAATGCTCTCACCCCCTACGATTGTTCTGTACCAAAAAAATTATAGCCGTTTTTTTTTTAATAAAAAAATATTTAGAGCTAAATCAAAGCGCTCAAAGTTTTCGATGTATTTTATATTTATGAGGGAAACCTAATTTTTCGTAGCCATGGTATGGAATTCTTGAAACATAATGTTTTTCGAACGGAAAACTTTGTTTCTCTTCAGGAGACTTCCAATAATAATATCCATTTGTTTATCTTACCATTTTTTAATACGGGCGATTTTTTTATGGGCTAATGTTCTAAATACTATATGCCATCCTATTCTATTTTTTCCTACCTGCCATCAACGGAATTTCGTTATATTTCTTTAAATCCGAGTTATTACCGATTTTTCTCAATAGCAGCACACACACAGACATAGTTTGTCTCCTTTTGCCGCCGCGCATGCGCACCGGGTGGTTATGATGCAGACAAAGTTAAATTGGAGCTATCAGTTTTTATGTTTATTATTTATTTATATAAACAGTAAAAGCAATTTTATATATTTTTTTGATATATTGATATACAATTTTCTGAGGCGATGGATATTGTTGAACTTTTAAAATTAAAGCTTATCTCATTAAACATATTACATATATGTATTCTGAAACAATTTTTAATTTCTTCATTACGGAGAATATACGTTTTTATATGAATTCAGGAACAAAGTCGAAACTCTGAAATCAAGGTGAAATTAATGCATAATTTCGTCTGCTATGCGTAAGCGGGGCATAACCTCCCAGCAAAAAATCGGTAATCGCTTTTAGTGGTAACGTGTTTTTGTGGCAACACTGATGCATAATTGCTTACCATAAAAGAGGTCAATGCGATAATTGGTAATTTCTCATTATGCCTCATTGCCCGTAGAGATAGACAATGCGCGCGAGCTAAGTATTTTTAAGTCTCTAAATATGCGCTAATATCATAAAACAGGCACACAAAAAATCGAAACAAAAAGGCTTGATTTTGAATATTTTTAAACACTTTTTTATTTGCAGTCAATGTGTCAAAATGAGGCCAACATAGGAAATAAGCTAATTTCGTTCTATTTCACCAAGATTTAGCTATAAGCTTATGATGGTGGAATAAAACATGCCTTTAAGTAATGTTTTGAGCTGCTCTCAGCCTAAACTAATTAGCTGATTTTTTTTCGTTTTTTTTTTTAAACATAATGAAGGTGGGTTCATGATTAACGTGAGCAACCGTACTTCTTTCGGAAGTACAGTACTTCTTTTTGAGCCGTTGTACTTCGTACTTCGAAGTACAGTCAAATGTACTTCTTTGCAATATTTTGTACTACCTTTTAAGTTGAGTTTTCTTTAATTGATTCGAAAAATTCTAAAAGGTCCCAACAAGCAAAATAAACTTAAATAAAGTTTTGTTTTTTAAGTTTTCAATTATAAACATTAAGCTTACAAAATGTTGATTTTTTGTTTATAAAACGCTTGAAAGTAAGCGTAATATAATCGAAAATGAACATTGGTTATAAGCGTAGAAATATAAACTTGTTATAAATGTTCAAAAGAAAGCTTTTTATAAGCGTAAAAGTGTAAACTTATAATAAAGGTTCAAAAAAAGTTGTTTATAAGCGTATGAATATAAACTTAGTAAAAATTTTCAAAAGAAAGCAGTAGATCAACACATATGTAAATTATGACTGTCAATCACTTCACATCTGTAGCTTACAAATTTCATTGTAAGTGACTATTCAATCAATAAAAATGTGTTTAAAGGCCGGTCTACAAGAACTTTCGCGTTGATTTTGGCGCTGGCGTTGGTTTGACAGAACGCACGTCAAAAGTATGCTTGCTACAATGAACGCTTGGCACCGAATGCTTTGGCCACTAAATTAACATACTAACGATAGATAAATTAATATTTCATATCAATAAATTCATGAAAAGAGTATTTTTGAATTGTTCCTCCCTTCCAAGACTCGTATGGCCTAATTTTTGGAAAATAAAATAAAGAGATTTATGATGGGAGATTTTAAAACAAATATTTGATTTATGAAGCATTCTTTATTTTTTATACCACTCGGCTTTCTCATGGAAATTTAATTGGTATTCTTATAACTCCAGTCTACATACATATCGCATCAATTTAACTGAATTAAGTTTTTCAAGTAGTATTTTCAAAAGTATTTTCGACAGTAAACGTTCTTAACCGCTTTAATTTAATACCAGAATTGTAATATTTAAAATATTCCTCAAATATTTCCGGTAGCAAACTTTCCTAAACCTCTTTATTTTGATACCCATATTGCAATATTTAATTTATCTTATTAATTAAAACAAAAAAAAATTTCAAGCAGGTGGCAACGTTCCCCAAAAAAATTTTTCGGCTGTGAGCCTTTTGAAACCTCTTTATTTTGACAGCCATGTTGCAATATTTAATGTATCCATCAATTTTAGCAAAACTGTTATTTTCAAATAGATGACAACTCTCTAGATTTTAAGTTAGACTTCAAGCAATACATCGGTGAAAACTACTTTCTATTTCTATTTCTATACAGACAGACAGACAATCAAAATTTCTAAAAATTCTTGATTTGGCTTCTGTTGCTCTATAAAGACCACCCATGTTAATTTTTCTTTAATATCTATTATGTAAAGACATCGGCCTGTAAAAATTTTATTATATGTATAGATTTTCGTAAAATGGGCACGACACCACTTATGCTCGGTAAGCACTTTATCGATTTCTACCAAGCCCAGTTCATTTATTTAAATATATCACTAATTTTTTTTAATTGAGCATATTATCGAAAATGCCTGAAATCGGGGGAAACCCCCAGCTTTTCACTTACATAGTTTAAAAAAAAGTGAAAAAACTATATTTAATCCGCCCTAACTTATACTTCTTTACTTGTTAATTAAAAAATTAACTTTGTTGGATTTGGTACACTGCCAACGTTGTTGTATATTCTGCTTTTACCATTTTTGTATTACTTTCACACAATTTTTTATTCTCAGGTCCTGTACTTCTTTGAGCTATGAAATAGTTGGTCACATTATTCATGATACAAAAAAGAAGGTAGTTTCAATAAAACAACTTTTTGATTAAAAGGAAGATTTTTGGCAATCGCTTAATTGCAAAAATTCGAAGCGGCGTTACCCAATTTAAGTTTTTTGGTACCTTTTAAAAATAATTCTTATTTTATCTTAAAAATGTTTAAATTTGACAATAATTTCGATAACCACTTCGCAAAAACTTTATATTTAGGTTAATGAAATTTTAGTGAACATATTTTAAAAACCTTTAGTGTCTTTATGCCAACGAAACAAACAAAAAAGCAAATGCGCCTGGGCCACACTGGAGAAGTGAAACTTACGTTACATATCTATTTTGTCTCATAACCAATATACATACATATGTACATACATACATACATCAGCTTTTTCTTAAGCTTATATTTTTTCTCCTTTTTCTATCTAGTTCCCTACCACTACCCCTGTTCGTTCTATGAACATTTATCTCCATTTTTATCTTTACACTTTATCGATAACAAAATCGATACTAACATTCAACAAAATATCGATAACAAAACTGATAAAAATATCGATGACAAATTCGATAAAAGTTTTGATAGCAAAATCAATAATACTATTGGTAGCAAATTCCTTTTCTTTATCGATAAATAATTGATAACAAAACCGATAACAAAATCGAAAAATAATCGATATCAAATTCGATAAAAATATCAATAACAAAATCGATAAATAATCGATCACAAAATTGATAAATAATCAATCATAAAATGGATAACAAAATTGATAAATAATTGATAACAAAATCGATAAATAATCGATAACAAAATAGATAGATAATCGATAACAAAGTCGATAACAAAATCGATAACAATTTCGATAACAATATAGATAAAAGAATCGAAAACAAAATCGATAAATAATAGATAAAAAAATCGATAACAATAAAGGTAACCAAAGCAATAGCTATCGATAGCAAAATCGTTTAAAATATCGATTAAATGATCGATAACAAAATCGATTAAAATAGCGATAACAAAATCGATAAAAATTACGATTATTATATCGACAAGTTCCGAAGATATCGATAGCAAAATCAAGAACAATATCGATACAAATTTCGATAACAAAATCGATAAAAATATCGATAACAAAACCGACAAAAGTATCGATTATTATATCCATAAGTCCCGAGAAGCCCGAAAATCTCTAAAATCCCAAAATAGTTCCCAGACTGAGTCTCTGTGTCTATCTATATCCTTTTCTCTATAATTACTTTTA